GAGAAATGCAGGTTTTGGGAAAATGTGTAATCAAGATTCAGAAGATGGCTGCTGCAGAATGTTTTGCAATTTTCTCTGACCTGATCTGTATGTCAGATTTACACTGCCTATGTTGTCTACGTATCGCTGGTTGCCTCTTTATCCAAAGCACATCTTACACTGCGCACCGCACTGCACAGTCTTGATTGGCTTCCATTCAAACAGCCCGTGCTCAGCTCAATAAATCTTTCGAGTTCAACATGGCTTGCAAAGAATTGCCGAAACCTGTTAACTGAATTGTGTCATGCTTCTCTCGTATCCTTGGGAATGCAGATGCGGGCACGTATACCCCTGTATGGCAACCTTAGACCCTTAATCTCAACCCTTAAGCCCTAGACCCTAAACCCTAAGGCCCTAAACCCTTAAACCCCAAACCCTCAACCTTAGACCCTAATTCCTGATATGGTTTAATAAGTTTAATACGGTGCCATAAGACCGAAGTGAGGACGCTTCATGGGCGCCCCTCTACCAAGCATAATTTCTGAGCTTGGGCAGTTTGCGTATGCTGCTGCAGGGATGTTGGGCAAGTAATTTGGTATCCACATGACCAGCACAGTCTTCACGAAGAAGGGCTCGCTGCTGCAGCATGGATCGGGTGGTACCAGGGCTGGGGTTCAGGGGCGTAAACAATCTTTGGCATTCCCAATACAACATCAGTCTCAGTATACAATAGAAGTATTGATTATTGGGGTTGGGAATTTCATTATTAGGCGAAATAAGAGTCGACCCTACACAGATAGTTTAGGTTTAATCCTCTTCGCCTCGGCCATGCTGCCAGCGCATGAGCCCGGGGGTCTGGATGCCTGAGACCATGCAGAAGTGGCGCTTGCGTGTCAGGTTAGAAATCCGATCCCCTTTCTCATGTAGGTTCTGTTTGAAGCAGGGTCTGAGCTTTTTTTGGGCTCAGAATCGATAGTTAGAGCTATAGTCCCCTTTAAGTAGATAGAACATGGCTTTGGGTTTATTATAAAAATGATCCCCATATACCCCATGTTCTATCTACTAAAGGGGGGACTAAAATCATGTCTTTACGGTGTAGGGTTTCTAGGGCTTAGGGTTTGAGGTCATTTCGTGAGTCGTTGGGGTTTCTACGGCTTGATTTTTGAGTTTACCATTGACACGATCAGCGTCTACTAAAGTGATAACCCTCAAGGCGGGTGCTTAAGCAAAACCGCTTAAGAAGCCCTAAACCCTCAATCCTATATAACCCTAACCCTGAGCCTTGAATCCCCAAGTCTCTAGACCCTATATATATATATATAATATACATATATGTATATGTAGACCCAGCTTGCTAGCTAACTAAGGCTTATTACGACTTTGTACTCTAATGATTGCAGTCTTTCACGCTCAATGGTAAACCTCCATGCGCTTCAACTCATAACACAAAACCTTTCGGATAGTCTCATACTTTTTAAGAATTCCTAATACTCATTACTCTAAGACTCTAAGATGGTCAGATTCACCACGCGCGGGGAGAGGATGCTGCGTGGACGTGGATCGAGCACTCTGCAGAAATCTAAGCCGGAGCTAGTAGAATCCAAGGTTTCAAATTGTTGAGAAGTTGCAGTGGGTTTTGGTTGGGGTGTAGGATTGAGGTTGGGTCAAGCTCTCGGGAGGCTTGAGGCAAGGGCTGGGGTCTCGCGCTGCTCCAAAATTCGTGTCCTCGTTGTGGCCTCACGGCCACAATGTTGGTAACTCTTGACTAGTACTAGTGCACAGTTCTGCCCCTCAAAACACCATTACTTGTGAATTACAAATGGCCACTACCCTTGCAACAGCCTTGGCTTTCGAAGCTCCAAGCAAGTTTCAATGTTAGAAGCTTTTTTTTCTCCGTGGCTAGTACGATAAAAGCGCAATGGGATCTGAGTTCTTTTCCTGCTCGACTTACAATATTTGCACAGCCAGAGGTTCGTAAAACGCCTCCAAACAGAAGCGTCTACCCCGATCCTGCTCGACGTCCATGTGTTGCGAGAGATGTAGGAAATGCCTCACGACACAAGCTTTCAACATTTGTATCATCTATGTGTTGCGAGAGACTCAGAGAAAGCCTCCAAGCACGAGGGTTTACCCCAATCTTGTTCGATATCAATGTGGTGCGAGAGATGTAATGAAATGTAGAGAGTGCCTCACAGCAGAAGCATTTACCACGATCCTGCTTGACTTCTATGTGCTGCCAGGGGTTTAAAGAATTCCTGGGTTGTAAATTATTTGCAGCTACAAACTTTTTCTGGGTTTCATGGTGAAGGACGTAATCTTGAAGCCACGCTCATGTTGCCATCACAAGTTTGTAGCTGTGAACAATTTGCAAGCCATGAGGTATGGAGCCAGGATCACGTCGCTACCCTCACAAATCTGTAGCCTGTAGCTGTGAATTATTGTCACGCAAGCAGGTCTGTGACCGGCATAAATGTGTAGTGTAGCTGTGAACAATTTACAAGCCAAGGAGTGTGGAGCCACAATTACGCTACGCTATTTACCCTACCATCAAGAGTTCGCAGCTTTGGGCTACCATCAAGAGGTTTGGAGCATCGATTGCACTACCGTGTACTTGTCAGCAAATCATAAGCAAAGAGGTCTGAAGCCAAGAATGCGATTACGTCACATTACCATGACGATTATGTAGTTGGGCATGCCAAGTTTGTAGCTGCAGCTGCGAACAATTTTCCAGCCAAGAGATTTAGCGCATTTTTTTCGCTTTCAAATATCACAGATGCATTTTGGGCCATTTTGCGTTTGAAAACGACTGCGAGGGCATTCTGCCAGCTGCGTACAGCGGCTGGCAAAACTCATTTGGAAATCTTGCGCCTATGCAGCAACTTGGCGCCAATCTTGGCTGACAGGTTTGCTTTCTTCAAGACAACATAAGCACCGCCCGCCCGCCCAACAATAATTTTACCCCAATCCTCGCTGACAGGTTGGGTTTCTTCAGGATACTGTAGGCGCCGCCCAACAACCACTACCCGACTACCCCAATCCAGTCCGACTGGTTTGGTTTCTTCTGGTTACCGTAAGCGCCGCCCAGCAACAACTTCACCCCAATCCTGGCTGACAGGTTTGGTCTCTTCAAGATAACACACGCACCGCGCACCCGCCCAACAACAACTTTACCCCAATCCCGGCTGACAGGTTTGTTTCTTCAGCATAACATAAGCACCCCCCGCCCTCCCAACAACAACTATACCTTAATCCTGGCTGACAGGTTTGGTTTCCTCAGGTTACCGTAAGCGCCGCCCAACAATAATCAATAACTTTACTCCTATCATGGCTGACAGGTTTGGTTAACTTATACATTATACAGAGGTTTAGGCATTGGACCCCCTTTTCAGGGTCGGCTGGGCTTAGGGCTTAGGCTAGGCTAGGCAAGTTCAGTCCAGGATTGACGACAACGACGGCAGCGGCGACGACGAAGACGACGACCACGACGATATTTCTTTGGGGGGGACTATTCGCAGCTACGAATTCTTGCGATGCCCTTCGCCTTAGCCGTGGCATCAAACCTTGTTGCTTGTTGCTAGAAAATCACTTGCAATTACAGACTTTTGATGAGAACGTAATCGTGGCTCCAAATTCATGCGGCAGTTGCGAAGACGGTAATGCTTACTATAAGCGCCTTGAAGCCATCACCACGGCACAGCTGTGAGCGCTGAATGGTTACAAATTCTCGTAGTCATTGCAGAGACCATCCCAACAGAAGCTTTTACGATAATTCTATCGCGATCCCCGAAGGCCTGATGCCCTAGACTCCCTAGACTGTAGACCCTTAGGGTTTAGACATCATAATAACCTTCACCATCGACCGGAAGGGTGATGGAATGCTCTGCTTGAATTCCTGCGGCCTGCGTTGCAGCTGCGCGTGCTCCAAGTGCTAGGTGTGTAGTCACGGTTCGCGCCGCGTGGTGCGCAGAGCCGGGATGGGGAAAGGGAAACCTCAGAAGGGTGGTCCGTCCAAGCCTTCGGTCAAGAAAGACCTCCAGACAAAGGCGTCCCTGCAGCAGGGATTCGGTTTGTTAAGTTTATTCACAGCGGTAGGCATGTAGGCAAGTAGGGGACGTGTTTCCATCTCTTCATTTGGATTACTTGCTTTCTAGATTCTAGACCTCTTCAAACCAGGATCACGGTTTAGAGTCTAAACACTTGGATTCATAGACTGCGTCGCAGTCTACCTGCCCCCTACCTGCCATTATTTCCTGGCAGGAGACAGCGCTGGCGTTGCCTCCGCGCTCGACTTCCGCTCGGGGATCGTCTTCGAAAGCGGGGGCAGCCTGCGTCAAGATTTGTGGGCTTTGCCTGAAACGCAGCGACGCAGCATGACTCGAGAGAGGTAGCCTGCGCCATAGCGCCACATTTAATGACCTTGTAAACACTGCTGAACGCAGTCCCCCTGAATTGTTTTCCTCTATCAGTGTAAAAGCCGATTAGCTGTTGAGGGTTGGCTGCAGGGGCACGCGCCTAAATTCGAGGAATCTCATGCTGGGAGCACCGCCCTGCTGTCTCAGGAGGTTGTCTTCCCGACCAACAACCAGGGCGAAGCGGATGGCCCGGGCTGCGTGGAGTGCAAGGAGGTCACACTTGCCATCAGCCCTTCCTTGGGTTTTGCCAAGTGCACCGCCCGCTACCATGACACGGACTCGTTCCCCACGTACCGGCCCGCAGTAGAAGCGGCGCGTGCAGCTCTCCTGAAGCTGAAAGCGAACCAGAGTGAGGAGAACTTGCGCAAGTTCAGCCCTGCCGCTTCCGGCACACGGAGCACAGAGTTCAGCCACCCGTCTTTTATAGCAGGCTTCTGGAGTTTGACAGGTGACGCTGAAGGTGCGTAACTCCGAATCAGTAGTCGGCTTGTTTTTCGTAGCTCCAAATCGCAGGTGCATAGCGCATAGGGCATAGGGCCGTAGGGGGATTCAACATGCAGGGTGTCCATGAAGCAAGTTGGGCGTCTGGTAGGTGTAAATGCAGCTTAGGCCAGGAGGTTGTGCGGGAGCTGGGAGCTCCTACCCAGACCGAAGTCCAGCGCCTGTTTGGTGTCAGCCCGCAGCACCTGCAGCTTGAAAAGTGGGAAGTGAAGGGTGAGGAGAACACCAACCTCACCATTTACCCCATCGAATTGCAAGGAATTCCGATGGAGAAACTCGCAGGAATCCGGCGCTTGAACCTCAAAGCCCGGACTGTGGTCACGGGTGCTGAGCACTTTGTCCGTCCTGAGACGCAGGTTGCCGCAGACCAAGGGAAGACTTGGCTGGACTACCTTGCCAACCAGCTCGTCCAGCAGAGGAAGGTATGGCCAGCAGGCGTGGACAGGTCTGCTTGCCTTCCTACGAGGACCTCCACGCCAAAGCTATGGAGTTGCAGGGCATCATTACGCAGGACCAAGCGCAGTATGAGGAGGCTGAGGTGACTCACGAGGCCATGGAATCTGCGCCGGTGCAGGATGGTCAGCCGTGTCACGAGGAAGCGGGCTTCTTACCAAGTTCGGCCTCAAGACAGCCGCAGGTCATGGACCCCGACGCCAGGATGCGTGAGGCCGTGGGTGAGACAGCCAACCAAGGTTCCGCGCGCAAGCGCAGTGCGGCCGGGGCGGCCAGCAACACAGGAGCTCAGCGTGGCAAAGGTCGAGCCGGAACTGGCAAGAGGAAGAAGACAGGAGGACTGGACCCACTCGATGAGATTCTTGAAGCCCCCGAAGAGGAGGAGGACGAAACCGCGAACGCGAACATCGACTGGGACGCATTTGAGTCCCGGGATCCCGAGATGTTCAGTGTGGCGTCCGCCCACTACGACCTGACCGGCAAGGTGGCGTCCTGCTTCCACTACCTCAGCCCCTCCAAGTTCTTGCTGGGAGAGAAGCTTGGCCAGGTGCTCAACGGCGCCACTCAGCTGCACGCATAATCTCTGCTACAGAGACATAAAATTTGTGTGACGTTTGCCTTTCAAAGTGATCCTAAGCTCAGGCTCAGGTGGATTTTCCTTATGTGCGTTCTGTTGCTTAGAGGCTCTGATACTATACGGATTTAAGATTCAGTGGGATTTCTGGGTTTGGGGAATCGTCGTAGGAGTTTAGTCTAGGATTTCAGGTTCAGGCAGGTTTTCAGCGTCTGATTCTTGTGACACTTGTGTCCGTCACCGGGCTAGGAGGCAAAAAGAGGTAGGCCACCTTCCCTGCTGTGCCAGTCTGTCTGCCAGGATTGGCTAGTTTAGTCTAGGATTTCAGGTTCAGGCAGGTTTTCAGCGTCCGATTCTTGTGATACTTGTGTGAGTCGCCGGGCTAGGAGGCAAGAAGAGGTAGGCCACCTTCCCCTCGGGCTCAGGGATTTAATCTCCAGCTCTAAAACGCTAAAGTCTATGTCTTTGGACCCTGGGCAAAAATTAGGGTTTGGGGCTTTAGGAACGTAATCTACAGCTACAGTTACTTATTGCGCATTACAAGCCAAAATGCAACATAACATACTTTACTCATACTTTTCATTCGCGGCTTCGCGTCCTCCCCTCAAAACAAGCCTGGGATACTGAAGAATTTCAGAGAGCAAAAGAAAACACTTCCATTAGTGTGACCCCCCGCACTTTTTGGGGTTTAGGATTTAGGGTCTAGGATTTAGGGTTGAGGGTTTAGAGCTTAAGATTTAGGATTCAGGGTTTGGGGTTTAGGATTTAGGGTCCAGGATTTAGGGTTGAGGGTTTAGAGTTTAGGATTTAGGATTCAGGGTTTGGGGTTTAGGATTTCACTTCAACCCTAAGCCCTAAACCCTAATATTTTTCCACGGTATAGAAACCTCAGGCAACATAAATGCGGCTAAGTGCGCACTTACTTGACTAGCTGTGAATATCATCCCACCAGGTTGTGTGTTGGAAGTATGCAGACGGCTCGTGGTTGCTGAGCTGTTGAGATTTCTTTAGACTTGTCAAATCGGTTGTGGTTTGTGTGTCTAAGGCGAAGCGCGCAGGCACTGTGCTCGGAGACTCCAAGGAACGGCATGCGCTTGACGAGAGAATCGCAGCGTGCGGCCAGTTTGCTATCAACCAGGCTTCGAGGAATGAACGGAGCCACGTTGACGCAGACTCTTGTCGTGCTTCAGCCCTACTTGGCCGACATGCCGTTTCAGTTGGGAGCCCGAGTCACAGGGAGGTTGATTCAGGAAGAGATGCAGGCAGTGCTGTTTGGCAACGCAAAGGCGACTCCTGAGGAGGTGCCTGTTCGCATCAAGAACATGGTTGCCGGATTCAGGTTCTGGGACAATGACATTCTCACGTTGGCCGACAAGCCTCGTGTGAACCCTGGCAAGCCCAGCTTGCAGCAGGCGTTTGCCGAGCTGCTCGAGAGACAAGCCGACGGGGAGGAGATTGCAGGTGATCAGGAAGATGCACAATTTGCAGAGCTCGTTCAGAAGCAGCGTGCGCTTGAGCGACGCCCCAGTGATCCCACGCGTGAGGAGGACCCCGCCGACAAGAGTACTTTTCAGCCGGACCTTGAGGCCACGTTCGTGCATGTGTAGTGCATAGTGTAGAACGTAGATGTACAATCTGCAGAAATCATCACCCACCACCCGCCCCGCTGTACCCCGCTGGTTTGTGTCAGGTGTTCAAGAAGACCCTGACAGCAGTGTTTGAGTCGGACACCCTCACCAGCTTGCTTAACAACGTCGCAGAGCAAAAGTACCTGGAGAACTTGCAGATGTGGATTGGTGAGTTCCTCGCGGAGGCAAACGTGCAGGCAGCAGAGACATGGATGAGTGCAACGGCTATGGGGCAGGAGCTGACCGAGATCTTTGAAGGTCATCTTCGGTTCTGCAGGGCAGTGGCTTTTCTGTTCCAGGTGCCTGTTGCGGGCAGCACTCCTTCGATGGATGATGTGTTATGGTTCGCGGACTATGTAGGTCCACACGTGTGGCGCAAGACCATTAGAGTGTTGTTGCGGGCACCCGAACCTGCAGGACCCAACTTCACGGAAGTGAAGAAGAAGTCCCGCAGCCTACTGCAGACCTTGTATGCGGACGCTGTAAAGACTGCCGCGACAGCGGGGCCAGCTCAGCAGCATCTGCAGGCGCTGCACTCGAAGCTGCAGGCGGCTCCCAGGGTTCTCGAGCATCGCTGTTGCCGTGCTCTTGCAGAGTTGATGAAAGACTTGGAGGAACTGGAGCTCAAGTTGCGGCAGGGCGGCAGTCAGCAAACTCGGGCTCTGGCTGTTGAGTTTACCTTGGAGGTGGTTGACGCTGTGCCTGGACTTCTGAATCATCTTGTTGTAGCATTGTGGCGCCTATATATATATATTTATATTTATACTTATAGTTTATAGTTTATAGCAGCTCTAAGGGTTTAGGATTTTGGGTTTAGGGTTTAGGGCTAGTCAGTCTAGTCACATTGGGCCATCACAAGCGGACGCCAGGCTGGCGTCAGCAGTGCTTTTTTGATTCGTATAGGATTGGCTTACACGATTACAGGATAGTCAGGTGTAGGGTGTAGAGTGTGGCAGCCGATTAGATTATAAGCAATCAGCCCATAGAGACAGACAGCACTGACGCCAACTACGGTAGAAGGCTTACACCCTAAACCCTCACCTTAATCCTAAACTGGCCCAAATCTCTAAATCCTACGCTGCTCATTGAACTCTCAGATAGTGGTTGTGTGTTGGGTCCATGCTTGGGCATCTTAAAATGGCCCAAAACTTTAAATCCCATACCCTGAACTCTCAGATAGTGATAGTGATAGTGTGTTGGCTCCATGTTTGGGCCCCGTTCTTTCTATCCGGAGCCTCCTTAATCGTAGCTTACTGTTATCAGGACAGGAGATTGGCCCAAAAAAGTCATGTCATGGGTTGCCACTCAGGGGGATTTCAGAGTTGAAGCGTGTTGGGTTTTTCGGTAGTCAGCTAGTCAGCTAGTCTAGTCCTGAGTTGATCCCCTCCGCCCGAAAAGGAAGCTGCTCACCCCTTCATAATGAATACCGTCCGTATTCTAGACTACTAGAATCATATTCTATTGGGAATGTCTATTGGGAATGTCTGTTACTCGGCTGGTGGGGAGTTTTATTATGGTTGAGGGGATGTAGGTACTTGCCAGCATCAATTCGTCCATGCTTTCTATTGACGGACTGCCAGTGCAAACAGCTTGGCACCCTACAAACCTGCTGAACCTACATGCCACTGGAACTTCCAAGTGCCCCCGAGTCAAATATTTTGTCAAATTCCCAACTCCCAACCCCAAAGATCCCCAACCCCCAGCCTCCTCTTGAGTTAGTTGACATCGATAACCTTGTCGATGTAAGCTACCTTCTGCCTGACAGGCAGGCAAAGGGCCAAGGTTTTTATTTTGTAGCCGCAGGTTTTGAATCGTGTCTACTTAACGTTTCACAGCCATGGGGAATCTCAGCCACAGGAATATTTGCGCCGACCTTGTTACAACATATGTATATATTTAAAACGCTAGATTCCATCCAACGGGGCTGTTCAATGTTGTTTTAAAGTGAGATACTTGCTAAACGCGTTGTACAACCAATCCAGGCTTTGCATGAGCCTGCTGAAGATCCCCCCCTATAAAATCAAGAAAATTCCAGAAAACCTCACCCTAAACCCTTAAACCCTAAACCGCAAACCCTAAACCCTAAACCTTTCCCCGCAATAAACTCCACCGCCTCACCCCACACATCTCCCTCACGAGGTGCTGAACTCCAAGCAGCCCCTCATTTTGGGCGAGGACGTGGACACGCTCCTGATGGCCTTGAAGATGTTCGGAGACGATAACAAGGAGTTTGCCGTTCTGCGCGTGAAGCTCACGCAGTGGGCCACCAAGCACAGCAGCTTGCTTTCCTCTGAGGAGTTCGGCGCCATGCTCAAAGATTTTGTGGCGGCTGCTTCGGTGTCGCAAGCTTTGACCGAGGTTGCGTTCGACAGCCAGCGCGCCTCCAACTTGGTGAACAAGGTGGTCAAACCCTTAAGTGACAGCTTGCGAGTGGAGATGGTTAAAGCACTGCCCGTGCTCATGGAGCAAGTGCTTGCGCAGGCGGGAGGAGTTGAATGTTTCAGGTTGTCGTTGCAACAAGGAAGAAATTGATGCCAGCCACAGGTTCGGTTAAGGGTTTAAGGATTAGCGTTCGAGCGTTACGTTCAAATTAGAGTCTCTTCCAGAGTTTGGAGGTTACTAAAGAGGCCCTTCAAAGAAGATCCCAAAAATTCTGGGTTTGTTTTTGGTAGCAGCCAGGTCGGTTGTGGTGGTGATGTTTCTGGGGAGGGTGTAAAAAAAGCTTCAAGTTGAACATGGCGAACATGGGTCATGGGGCCATGGGTTTCAGCGTTCGTTCACAACGCTACAGGGATTGAATCGCGTTGTAACTACACATAGCAGTGTGTTCGGGGCGTGCGGGGCATTCTTTTTAGCAGACTCTAGTGAATCTAGTGGAAGGAGTAGGCTACGAGCAGCTGAGCATCCGAGCACAAAGGCTTTAAATTCTAAAGCTGGGCTGTCTGACTGATCAAGCCTTTCCAACGTTTTTGGCCGAAAGAAATCCAGCATGCAGGTCTCGGGTGGAGCAGACCCAAGTTCGGCGCTGCTGGGTTCCATGTCTGTTCTCACGAAAATCGCAAGTATTACCGACCACCCGTATGAGGCCTTAGCCAGTCTTCAGGTGAAAGCGTTGAAGTCNNCACGCCCTCGAGGCTTCGGAAGGACGTAAAGTACAAGGTCCTATCAACCGTCAGCAGCCACATGGCGAACAGCAACAAGATCTTCTCTGAGATTGAAGCGTGGCTGGGGGACCACCAGGACCTCATGCAGAGGGCCAACCAGGAAAGCGACCCTGAGTTAGCGGTTTTGCTTGTGGATGTGGTGGGCAAGCTCAAGGGGCGAGCTCCCTGTGAGCGGGACACAATTTGGGAGGATTGTGTTGCTCACAAATCTGCAGAGTTGGGAAACCTCTTGACCGACGTCAAGTGCAGTGTGGAGAGTACTACAAAGGGCTACTACAAGGGGGGTGCCTCTGATTGGAAAGCCTCCTTGGCCCCAGATGCAAACTTGAAAGCTGTGCTAGCCAGGGCAGCCGCCACGCTCTTGGGTGTGCCCATGGACTCCGTGAAGAGTGTCATCGCTACAGCCGCCAAGGCTTTCTTTAGTCTTGTTGTTGAGGATAGCAAGTTACTCAGTGGTCACGCGTCACTAGTCACTAGTCACTTGTCATTAATAACCCTGGCATCCACACTGCCGATCAACTTGCAATGGTGCAGTCATCCAAGAGATGTGATCGGAATAGAGGCTCATAGGGCGTTGAGCTCAGGCTTCGATGTTAGGTGCGATAGAAAGGACCTTCAGTCCTGTGGGCCCGTTCACACAAGCTTCAAGAGATTGTAGAATGTAGAGATTAATTGGGGTCGTAAATGGACCGTAGCACCAATCTGTGGCCTTGAAAGGGTTTATAGCTGGGCTGCTATCGGGATTACATATGTTTTTCAATATTCAGCTAGAATTCCAGCTCACAGGTCTGAAGATTGTCCATTTTCTGGGTTTTGGTAGGCTCAGACTTATGATGTTTCAAGTGGAGTGTGGTATGCGCTTGTGCCTGTCGGATTTCATTTACTGGGCCATGACATGGATCCGAGGATTGCTAAACTTGTGCATGTCCCCATGGAACTAAACTAATTAGAAAATAAATAACTAAATGAGTATGCTTATATAGATATATAAGTCCCCAACTAACGATGTCAGCGTCCAAGCTCCAGACAATCCTCTTACTCCTACACCGCGCGAGCCTACAGGTCCTCAGTCAATTAGTTTTGAATGGTTTTATGAACTTACTCACTGTTGTCATCCTATAGAGCACTCTTAATACTAGCCTACGATTCCTTGGAACCCAAAGTACTCATAATCCCACAGCCTGAAATTCTAGACCCTGGACTTCGCCCACTCATATACTGTTCTAATGTGAGCTACAGCTATAGTCTAAACTCCCAGTATTATCCGTAATAAGCCCTACAATGGTCCCTTATGTAATCCCCTATACTAAACAACATCCTATAAGGAGTTTAGACTTTAGCTGCAGCTCATATCGAAACACTGTACTAGCAGACACAGCTACTCAGCTGTGTCGCCCAGTTGTACTTGTGTAACCTCTTGACCAAGAAACCTTGAACAATGAACTTGACAAGCCCTGTACGTAGGCCCTTGCAGCCTCCGCCGCTTTCTTGGACGCAGTCGAAGCTCCACATGAGGCGCTGGGCAACCTGCGCACATGCATGAATTCAGCAGAGGAAATTGTGATGGCCGCGCGCATCCAGTATGCGGAATCAGCATTTTCCTACAGCCTGATGCATTTGAAGAAGGATGTGCCTGACAAGGCGCCTACAACAATGAAGCAGATAATCACCGAGCACATGTCCAAAATTCAGAAAATTCGCTTGCCAAGCTCTCCAGACACAACAGGCGAAAGCCTCGTGCACACTTTGCTCTTGAAGGAAAGCAAGAAATTTTTGTAAGGCATTCACTGCCTTGCCGAATGCCAGGCCGCATTGCCGATGCCACTGGTGTTATGCATTGAATGTGATGTGTGGTGTGTAGTGTGTAGTGTGTAGTGTAGCAGCGTAGCTAGGGTTTCAGGTAAATAGGTTGTGTTTTGAGGTTGTAAGGGAGTTTAGGGTTCAAGGGCAGTTGGCTGGTGGCCTTTGTCCCATGCAGCTGGGGTTGTCCCACAAAGCGGTTGCCTCAGTAGCATGGGCTTACACACACTCGATGTGAAGATTCCGTGTTTCGCCTCTGTCCTTGAAAGCTGCGAGGAAGCCAGCTGAGAGCGTCTAGTCTAACATGGCATACGGCAAAGCCATTACGTCAAACTAAACTACTGGCATTTTAGGCTTTACTGTTCGGAGGATTAAGCATGCAGGGCTCATAGCGGATAGTGAGAGTCGGGTTCGTGGGCGATTTGTGGATTTGGGGTTACAGTGCAGCTATAGCTCGGTAAATATCCTATCTAACCCAGGCAGGCCGAACTGCCGATACCAGCATCTCACTGATGCTCGTAAAACGCTACTGAAGTGTGCTCATGAAAGACATGTTAGCAAATCGGAGCTGTGACTGGTGCGGGCTTCTTCCCAGCTGGCGTTTTGGGAGGATTCGAACGCTTGAAAGCCTCGACTCGACAGATCAAAATCTGAGTTCTTTGGCTGTGAGCATTAATCCCCTCCGCCTAAGAATGAACCCCACCACCCCCGAATAATTTATATCACCAATATAT